TAATTAAAAGTACGGGAAAAGTAACACTACATGTGTAATAAGCAATCCATTATTATGATGTCATTATGACATCATAGATGAGTGAACTTGCACTGGCGTAAAAATTGCTTTGAAACAGATGAATGTACACAAGAATATAAAGGCTTATAACTTTTTTATTGCTACACCAATTTTCCTGAATGATACATCAATGGACAGGAAATAATCAGTACTTTCTATTTTTACCACTTTCGGGGTATTTGTAAACTTAATTTTTTTGTTAATCATGGAGAAACGATGAATTCAAGGGTGAGGGATGATAAAATTTTGTGCAAAAATGCATTGATTTTTTGAACTAAGAGAAATTGACCCATATGAGTTCTTGATTGTGATTTTGCTTGATGTATTTAAAGTTTTGAAAGAGAATAAAAGTGGTATAAGTTTATTAATAAGCTAACCGATGACTTAAAATTTGGGTGCAGTTGTGGCTAGATGGAAGCATTTTAAAAGAATTTTGCATACAGAACTGTGCATGGTGTAAAATCTTTATTAATGATTGAATTTTCCTGAAATTTGGCATAATGTCACTACATAGTCTGTAGTATGACTTAGGATGTAAAATGTTGTAAAATCCAGAAAATACTTTTTCATATTGGGTACATACCTCTAATTATTTTTAGAATCGGTAGGAGAAGAAAGTAGTGCAGAAAAAATTACAAGTTCCTTAATTTGTAGACCTGAATAAAAAAAACTGTGATAAGGTATTAAATTGAGCCTCATACTTGTTGATAAGGAGTATGTTCCCTTGCAAAAAAGCTTGTCAGATGTAATTTATCAAGAAGATCAGCAGAATTATTTTATGTATTATAACACCAGTGAGAAGTCTTGAAATCCCCTACTTTCACTTTCATTTTCAGAGGTTAACGCAGACAGACGCATTTTGCCGGAAAACGAATCTGACATGCCACCTCGAGATTTTAACCAAGGAAAGACAACTTGATGTGCTTTGATTTGAGGGGTCACTCAATGCTGAACGAAAATTAGGGACATTGCTATGTGAAGAAACGTTAACATTGCCGCCTATGGGAAAACAATTAGTGGGCTGTACCCAATATGAGGAGCCTATTGGTAAGAGAAAATTCTCATAGATCATTACTTTGTTTTGAACTCGTTGTTTACTATCATTTCCAATTGTTTAAATTTATGAAAGAAGCAAATTTGAATTTGTTTATACGTATTTTGAGACAAATCGATTTGTTAATCCCCCCCCCCCCCCCCAGGAACAGACAGCTTATGCTCATATCTCCCATTGTGTACAGATGTAGCATGTAAATTAAATGTATCGATTTTATACAATTTATTAATTCAGAGCCATTAATAGATATTTAGAAAAGGAACAATTATTTTAGAAGTACATCCACCACTATTGTTTATTTTCAATACACAAAATTTCACAAATGAGGTCGGAATCGGTAATCAGTGAACTTCAAGGTCAAAGTGAAAGTAGAATGGCAGTTAGTTATCAAAACTGCTTAGTGCTACCTAGTGCAGAGTCTTGCAGTATGTAGGTGATATGCATTTGTCATTTTATGAAAGAGGTAAAGAAAAAAAGGTTTCCATGCCTTATCACAATATTTGTAAATGAAAACTTTTATTTTCATGGAATAGAATTACATGTCAGCGAGGACATACATATGTAATTCTTTCAAAGAAGTCGGTCAGGCTACAGTTGTGTAGAAGTTAAGCAGTGTGTGCGTGAACATGCACACTAACATTTTTTTTTTATTTTATTAACTGCATTACATGTATTTGTCTAATGTATAATTATTGTCAGTAAACATGCTTTTTACCTGTATTATTAATTTACATGTAATTTAACAATGCTGAGACTAATAAGTGCAAATTCATAATTTTCAATTGATATCAAATTATGGGCATAAAAGGATTATGGTAGGATTTGTTTGTTTGACGTCTGTCTGTGAATGTTTTAGGTGCTTTATGATGCTGATTTATTATTGCACCATTTTTAAAATTGATTTTTTTTAGGATCATGGTGATACAGGACAATGTCGAGGTTCATGCAGATGAGGTCGGAATCTTGAGTCTTCACATGTAAAATGATGGCAGTACTTTTAATATGTAAGTTGAATTTTCTAAAGCTTCTTTGTGTGTGTATGTGTGTGTCCGGGGGGGGGGGGGGGGGGGGGGGTGTTAAAGCTTAGAAAATGTAGATTTTAAATATTTGAGCTATAAAAGTGACCATCAAACTAATCTGTACATGTATGCTATATATTTTACAGCTAATATATTTTAAAAAGAATTTCAAAACAATTACATTCATAGTGTTGTGTATGATAAAATATTAAGATTAACAAATATAAGAGTTGAAATTTCTTTAATATTTATCAGTCAGAATGAGCGACTTGTAAGGAAATTCAAAATTTTCAAAGTTCTCTTTTATTTTCCTACAAATTACAAAATGGTTACCATGGAAACAAAACATTTTCTGTAGACTATTTATTTGATCTGCTCATGCAAGTATTTTTATCATTTTATAGTTGTAATGAATATTTTAGTTTTAATTTCATGTTTAATTAAAAGTACGGGAAAAGTAACACTACATGTGTAATAAGCAATCCATTATTATGATGTCATTATGACATCATAGATGAGTGAACTTGCACTGGCGTAAAAATTGCTTTGAAACAGATGAATGTACACAAGAATATAAAGGCTTATAACTTTTTTATTGCTACACCAATTTTCCTGAATGATACATCAATGGACAGGAAATAATCAGTACTTTCTATTTTTACCACTTTCGGGGTATTTGTAAACTTAATTTTTTTGTTAATCATGGAGAAACGATGAATTCAAGGGTGAGGGATGATAAAATTTTGTGCAAAAATGCATTGATTTTTTGAACTAAGAGAAATTGACCCATATGAGTTCTTGATTGTGATTTTGCTTGATGTATTTAAAGTTTTGAAAGAGAATAAAAGTGGTATAAGTTTATTAATAAGCTAACCGATGACTTAAAATTTGGGTGCAGTTGTGGCTAGATGGAAGCATTTTAAAAGAATTTTGCATACAGAACTGTGCATGGTGTAAAATCTTTATTAATGATTGAATTTTCCTGAAATTTGGCATAATGTCACTACATAGTCTGTAGTATGACTTAGGATGTAAAATGTTGTAAAATCCAGAAAATACTTTTTCATATTGGGTACATACCTCTAATTATTTTTAGAATCGGTAGGAGAAGAAAGTAGTGCAGAAAAAATTACAAGTTCCTTAATTTGTAGACCTGAATAAAAAAAACTGTGATAAGGTATTAAATTGAGCCTCATACTTGTTGATAAGGAGTATGTTCCCTTGCAAAAAAGCTTGTCAGATGTAATTTATCAAGAAGATCAGCAGAATTATTTTATGTATTATAACACCAGTGAGAAGTCTTGAAATCCCCTACTTTCACTTTCATTTTCAGAGGTTAACGCAGACAGACGCATTTTGCCGGAAAACGAATCTGACATGCCACCTCGAGATTTTAACCAAGGAAAGACAACTTGATGTGCTTTGATTTGAGGGGTCACTCAATGCTGAACGAAAATTAGGGACATTGCTATGTGAAGAAACGTTAACATTGCCGCCTATGGGAAAACAATTAGTGGGCTGTACCCTTCTGGTCTCAGACCAGTAGAGCTAACAAGCTAGAAGTCGTTAAATAATTAGGGAAAATGGCATGAACAATCAATGTAAATTCCATCGAGTACTCGACTATCGTTCAACTAAAGCCTCCGACTTTTCGACTAGGCTGTCCGAGTAAAATTGACATCCCTAATAAATATTGATCATAACTTAAGTTTTTTAAAGGTGACTGGATGCCCGGAACATATATTATGACCGTAACCAAACTTACGCGGACTGGAACCTTTATTATACCCCGGAACCAATATTATACATATTAAGCGTTCCGGTCGGAAAGCTAAGTTGCTCGGAACACGAAAATTATGCGGTCTCAAATTAGGTACTAGGATTCTTCCGCATGTTCAGAATATCCATTTGCATAAAAACGAAACAAAACTAGTATGTTTCTTTCAGCTGGGGGAAACAAATAGTACTTCAATTACGCACATACTCACCCACACAAGCGCTTTTTTTTATTCCCTCCAACTTCGTTGCGAGGGGATAATAAACAATGTAAAGACTAGCTAGGAATCGGAAGGCCTGAATCCGACCACTCATTTGGAGTGAAAATGACATCAATTACATTTTTGATAGTTTGTAAATGAGACTCTAAAATGGCACTTAGTTCAAAACCAAAATTTATTTGAATATACTAGTAGCATACACTAAAGCCTATAGAATATACTAGAAAATTTCCCGAAATTCTTCAGTTAAGGAATCACTTAACATCAATTATTAAGTCAAAAATTTGTGAAACAATGGCACCGCAAAAAAAGCAAATCGATTTAGATATAAATTATTACTTGCGTACCTTTCCCCACTCACCAATACCAGGCACGTAGCATCAGGAGGGTCCCACTTTTTTCCACACTCAACTTTATACATTGAAAATATTCACTGAAAGGTCGGTTCCCCCTACTTTTGTTGCTGTATAGTCAAATAAGGGTAATATAGTAGTGTATGAATAAAATTTGGCACTGAAAGAAGCTGGAACCTGCCCCCCCCCCCCCCCCCCCCCATGAAATGGGATTTTCGAGTTTGGACAATTTTCCTTTTTTCTTTTTGTTTGTCAAGTCTATCAAGGTAAGTTGATTTTTTTCCTTTAGCCCCCCCCCCCCCACTTTCAAACAACGTGCTCTACCCCTGCATACACACACGCAGGCGCGTTACTTTACTTTATCCCCTCCAATTTCGTTGCGAGGGGATAAGCTTAATAAGAGGCATCTTCACAACATTTTGATCTGCTTTTTGGTTTTGTTTTCTTATTCGCAGTAGCTTATTAAAGGTTAAAATACTAGAATGAGGTAAGAGTGTGTCACAAAATCTTATTTATATACTGAAATACTTATTTACATCGTGCAAACAACACAGGCAATTGGTTGAGAACTTCTGTAGGGCGGGCATGGGAGAGAACCACAGACTGCCTGCACGGTGTAGAACAATCTCCCATTATAACTGTTTTGTCGAGAACCAGCGGTACCATACTCTGGATTTCTATCCAAACACAAAAAATCGGCACCGTTATGATTTGTGTACTGTGCTTCAGAGGTCAAAAATCCGTCATACTGTTTCATCCAATTTGAAGGACATGACAGTTTAGCAGGAATCATGATTGTTGATGAAGCATACTTGGAATGACACACTGCACACGGAACGTCATCGTCCATCGCTATGTTGTTATAGGTGAATTCGTACTCGCTTCCATGTATCCGTCCAGAATGCACGTAAGCAGTCACACCATAAGGAGCGTCCTCCGGATCAAGGGGTAAACAAAGGGTGTTAATGCCACCGCCAATTTCATTGAAATTTCTACCTCCAGCAATACCTTATTTAAAATTTACAGAAATATTTCAATCAACAGAGAGAGAGAGAGAGAGAACAAGGGTTTTAAAATGCATGCAGTATACAGTAAAACGTATTAAGACGGACCATCGATAGCTCTGTAAAACATTTTAAGATTAGACGATATCCCAGTTGGAGAATATTAGTATGAGTAATATGTTAATAAGAATTACATTTTCCAAATATATTTGAGGATTTAGATATTTTGCCGGAATGCACAACACCCGGAGTGAGCAGTTTTACTATGCTTTTTGTATAAAGCATTATATTTAAATCAAATTGTCAAATAATTTTATCTGAAATAAAAGTGAAATTGTTGAACGAAAAAAATGGTAAAAATGGAGACACTTTTTTCCTCCTTAAACATTTCTTAGAACACTTAAGGTATAAGTTTCAAATCTACCTGAATAAACTTTTGATGTCCCATTAACTGATGGACATGATTTCTTCCCCCAACGTACAAATGTAGTTCCTAAAACAAAATGCATATATATACATTTCTCTTTTTAGAAAAAATAGCAATAAAAGTATGTAATATATATTCACTGTAACTGTAAGAAACAAATAGGTTACATGCCATGTCTTGCCTTTGAGTTCTCAAAATTTGCAAGAGTTGTTCTCAGAGCCTTAATTTCAGCGTCTTGTTCCGCAATCTTTGTGTTCAGCTGTGATTGAATTGTCTGGAATTGTTGCTCCAGAGCTTGCAATCGCGAATTCATAAAGTTTGCGTCGTCTACCAACATACGTCTGCTGCCAAGTTGACTATTATCAAGTAAAGCTGATGATACTGACAAGAGGTTTACGGACGAAAGGAAGCATAAAAAGATCATGACTCTTGCTGTTTAGGAAGCCAAGCGAAGTCGTGGTTTTTCTTCAGTGTATGACAACTCACTCGTTTCTTATCTTTATTTCTGATAAAATATGAAATGACTGCAGAGTGCAAAATGTAGAACTTTCGGTGATAAAAAAGCATTCATTTTTGGATAAACGGAAAACTTGTGTAATACGTGAAAAAGTAAGGATTTGTAAGTTTACCAACACTGAATCGATTTTAATATGACATACTTTAAAGTATGTACATTGAATCTACGATTGTTATTGTAACAGTATGTTAAACTGGTAGAACATGTTCCAATAACAACACATTTCTAACAAAAAGGGGTACTTAGAGGAGCTGCCCCGTATTCGTGTTGTCCTCTCAAAGGGAAAGATGTGACAGTACCAGTAGATGTCAATATTATTTTTATATCTTCGGTTTATATTTCTTACCATGAACATTTGTAAAACACAATTGTAAAAGGAAAGGAGAAATTGTATAACTGGACCGGGAATCGAACCTGGGACCCATGTTCCATTAGTCAGGTGTTCTAACCACTGAGTTATCCAGGGCCAAAATCATTACATTCCTCCCTCCTTGCCTTTGCCCTTGAAGAAACAATCCAAGTTCTTATCGCGCCTGGCAGGACTTTCATCTGCAAGTCCAGGGGTGGTCAAAGACACCAAATTATGTAACAGGAAAGGAGAAAATGTATGAAATGTATGGCTGGACCGGAAATCGAACCCGGCATCAATAGTCAGGTGCTCTAACCATTCAGCTATCCATGCCGATATCCAAGGGCCAAACCATTACACAATGACTATATGAAATCAATTTAGCATGGTTCAATAACATTTAACGATAGAATAATTTATCAATATCTTCAGAAAAACAGTATAATAGAGTTTACACAGTGTATATATGTTTCTTGTAAATTTTTCTTGACAAATAGTCACTACTTACATCAAAGTTAGAAGCATGATTGAACAGGCTCCGTAACCAAAGAACAGAGTAAGAAGTGGGTGCCTTCCAGAAATACAACAGCGGATTAGTAGAGGCCATTATAATTATATCCGCTATGTGGGATTTAGATATAGAGCCAATACTGAAAATATGTTGTTTTTTAGCTCTAGTTTGATATTTTATTAGCGCTTGTGTATTACGGTATTTTAAGTAATAGATATACATGTACCATACAATTTTAACTGTTTTGTGGTGGTGTAAATTGTACCACGGTTTGAGTTTCACGACCCCGGGTTTCCCCTCAAGAGACGAAGCCGAACCTATATTAACCTATAACTTTAAAATTAAAAATCAAATTTTAATCAAACGTAAGTTTGTCGATTAATATATTCCCACTGAAAAAGGGAAATAAATCTTGTGCGCCTCATGCTCAGTATTATTGCATCAGATTGGGGGAAAATCTATCAGGTGCTAAAAGGCAATTGAATTGTTTGATTGATTGTATGTTGTTTTACGTTCCGTTCGAGAATTTTTTCACTCATATATTTAGAGATGTCACCATATACCGGTGAAGGGCTTCAAATTTAGACCTTTACTCGGCACTCAGGGCCATTGAGCAGTGAGGGTTCTTTATCGTGCCAACGCCTACCGTGACACGGGACTTCGGTTTTTAAGGTCTTCGAGAAGAACATCCATTTTCTGTGACAGGAATTGATTTTGCAGAGCCTTTGTTTGTAAAGGAAGTTAACAATTCTCCAGGAAAAGTATATATTTGCTTGTTTACATGTGCCGTTACCAGAGCCATTCACACTGAGTTAGTGGAGGATATCACAGAGGAGACTTATCAGAGCATTTCGGAGATTTTTAGTTGCAGATCGCTGCCAAAAGTCGTTAATTCCGATAATGCATCTACGTTCAAGGCAGCAGTATTAGATAGAGATCATTCCCCACGATAAATTAAAGTCCTTCTTTTTGACATCATTGACAGCTGCTTTTTCAATGAAACTCGTAAATTTACTTACTTTGTCATTGGTCATTTACAAAATTATTTTGTTAAAAAACATTCTGAATGTACACACAAGTACTCTGAAGTTGATATTAAAAAGATGCTTGAGTTTCTGATTGACAATATCTATGTGGTTTTGGAGACCAGGTCTTCCAACAATCTGTTGGAATTCCCATGGATACAAATAGCGCCCCGTTGTTAGACCTATTTTTGTATTCATACGAAGCAGAACTTATTCAAAATCTTATACATGAGAAAAAGAAATCTCTTGCTGTGGCCTTCAACTCGACATTTAGATATATCGACGACGTATTATCAATTAACAATAGTTATTTCCATTCATATTTCGACACGATATATCCCAGTGAGCTTAAAATAAAAGTTACCACAGAATCTGACAAATCTGATTTATATTTTTGGATATTTTACAACAAAGCTTTATGATAAACGTGATGACTTTAACTTTTCAATCGTCAACTTCCCTTACTTATGCAGCAATATACCTTTATCACCTGCATATGGGTGTATATCTCTCAGTTGATTCGATACGCAAGAGCATGCTCTACGTATGTACAATTTCTAAAACGAGGTAAGTTATTGACAAACAAGTTGATGAAACAAGAATATCAGCAGTCTCGTTTAAAGTCATCATTTCGTAAGTTCTATGGTTGATACAATGACCTTTTCAGCAAATACAATCTATCATTAAGTCATATGCTGGCTGACGTTTTTCATACTAATTGTTAGGCCATTATTTACACAATGAATTCTCAAAGGATTTTCCGTTATTTCCCGATCATGGTAAGGGCACACGGCGGGTGTGGCCGGTCGGCAGGGGATACTCACCCCCCCCCCCTATTGCATCTGATCCCACCTCTGATATATTTGGAGATCCGTCGTTTGCTCTGCTTCCGATTTGTATTGTTTTAATGGACTTTGAGCTTAAATACTGTTCGTTATCTCCATATTTCATGACAAGTTTTGAAAGATTCTATTGAAATTTTAGAAGGAAAAAGTTTTTTGAACAGGAAAGAATTGGATTTTAAAGCAAATGCTTTTCCATATTTTATGTACTTTGTTAATGTCAACAGGTCAACGGACCTGCAAATGAGTTTAGAAAGTCGTAATTATTCATATCTGACAGACGGGAGTACATGTATAAGGTTTTTGAGTTATGATTATGCATCACCGTGTTAGAAACTTTAATACTAAACATATTTGTTAATATTTATTTGAAATTGTGCTTTTTTAAATGTGATTACATGGTACAAACCACACAGGCAAGCTTTTGGAGATCTCTATACGGTGGACATGGCAGGGAGCCACATACTGCATGTACCGGAAAAAATAGTCTACCATCATAATTGTTCTGTCGAGCACCATCGGTCATATATTCAGGATTTTCATCAACACACAAATATTCAGAGCCATAGTAAACATTATTACTCAGAGTTGCATCAGATGTTAAGAATCCTGAGTACTGCTTTGTCCAACTAAGAGGGCATGAGCGTTTTGCAGGAATCATAATAGAAGATGATGCATGGTGAGCAAAACAGACAGCACACGGTACGTCATCGTTAACAGCAATATTTTTGAAACTAAAGTCATATTCTGCTCCATATAAGCGACCCCAGCTTGAATCGGAAGGAAGACCAGCCGGTGCTGATTCTGGATCATGAGGCAGACAGAGTGTATTCACGCCACTTCCTGCTTCTCTATAATGTCTACCCGCGGTAAATCCTATAAGTTATATGCCAAAATATTTACCATGAAAAGATCAAGACAACTGACTCAGGCACGTAGTATCTGGAGGGGGAGGGGCACTCTCTTTTGCTGTTAATTTGGTATGAAAATTTTCATTGAAAGGCCAGTTAGTGCTGGCAAAATCCTCCAAAGTTAAGACCTGTCGACACGATCATCGAATATTATACTCTTTGTGATACACCAAAAATATTTATAATTATTATTAATTTATATTTCCTAAACAGTTTTCAAAATGTCTATATATATATATATATATATATATATATATATATATATATATATATATATATATATATATATATATATATATAGTGATATAAGACACTCAAGGAATTTTCATTAGTATAATATAGGGAATACTATCCTCTGAAATCTTGCACAAATGTCTAGTAATGTACTTCCATTTTTGGTCAGGAAACGTGTTAAACTAGCAATATTTCAATCGCAAATTGTTGGTGAAAATATGCATTATTGAGGAACGTTTCGCCTAACCTTATAATGTATCCGATTTTTTTTTTTTACACAAGTATCTTGTCAATTATTTTGCTGGTTACAACCCTCCCTCCCCCTTTTTTGGGAAAACGATGCTACGTGCCTGCAAATCTAAATAACATTTCTTGAAGGTGAATATCTTATAATAGGGTTGTGTATCGCGAGGAAAATAGAGTCAAGATGCATCACGGTATTTCAGAAAAATGTTGCAATATATCATGATATATCAAGTTTTTAAATCTACAGATTTGTCCATGGTTACTTTTTAGTTTTAAGAAAGGAAAATGTAGATTTCAGGATTCCTTAAAAATAAATTTATTTTACATGTAAGTCTTTAGTATTTTCCAATATTAAATATTAAAAATATTTAACCCAAAATTAAAGCAAGTTAGTTTTGAATTTTTTTCCTTTTAATTTCTAAAATAAGGTAGACATTTAACTTTTTCTACTAGTATTTATTTAGTTCTATCATTTTTATTAACACATACATGTATACTCTAAATTTGAAACCTGAAACCAAAACATGCGCATTATATACTTTCTGAAAAAATTGAGAAAAAAATCGATTCTTCGTTTTATGCATAGTATCGACCCCCTCTGTATCACAATGCATCGATATATCGATATATTGTTACATTCCTATCTAATGACTGCATATCTTGTGTGAGAAAAATGCGAAGAAATCGATATTCAAAAAGATATAATGTTTCAATAACGTAGTCAATTATTGTCTAAAACAATTATTATGAAAGCATTTGACAAAAACAGTTATTCAGATATATTAATCAGTTTCACATATTACCAGCATACAATAAAGAGGTTCCATTCACGACTGGACATGTTTTATGGCCCCATCTTATATAAGTCGAACCTGTGTACCAATAAGAAAAAAACTAAGTAATTGCACGAAATGTTTCATTAAATAAATACAACAAAAATATCTATACAGAAAAGCAACATTCTAATTTTAGAATGAGTGGGCACAAAACGAATGTTCTGCCCACAAGAAATTTTGGGTATTTCAAGAATTCTACAAATGTACATATCGAAAGTTAAAGCCAACCTGATTTTATCACATGTCAACACACATGCTGCAATGCTTTGTGAATGATTTTATACCACATGGACAGTTAATATATGCACACAAAAGCGGATCCAGGACCGGCGCGCCGGGCGTACGCCCCCCCCCCCCGTTTGAATTTTGTATGTCCATTATCCTAAAATCAAGGAAAAAACATCTCTTATTCGCCCCCGGACCCCCACCAGGACTTTGCCCTACACCCACAGGGGGCTTCATTGCAGCCCCCCAGACCCCCCTTGCCTTCTACTGCTCCCCCGTTATGAAATTCCTGGATCCACCACTGGCACATATTATGGGAAAAAAAATGAAGATACAATCACGCACTTTACAACAAAAGTCTATTAGAAAATAGTAAATTATTTTTTTTTTATTTATACATAATTTTATTCACATGAAGTGAATGGGATTAGGCAGCAGGCATAGCCTATTTTAGCCCTCTCCCTACAGCAAGGTCAAGGTAAATACACTGCATAACATTAATTAAACAAACATTTAAAAAATACGAGGAAAAAAACGGGAAAAAAAATACAATGAAGTACCGGTTTGGAAAAATTGACAAAAGTTATATATACATTTATATGACAGTGTTCAAGTAAAACGTTTTGTTGCTGCTATATATGCATGTACTGCTTCAAAAATTTGTATATTAATATTGAGTCCATGATCAGGACTACCATATAATAATAATTTAAGTTCAGAAACCTGATTACAGTCTGTAATATTTTGAATTCTTTGAAAAAGTATATCTCTATAAGATGTATATTTTGAACAAGCGAAAAAGTAATGATAAGCATCTTCAACAGAATCAATACAGTGTTCACACATTGGTGTTTCTGATAAACATTGGCTATATAAGTGTGCCTTTAAATTACTTGCATTGTTCCTTAACTGACAATGTATTATATTGTATTTTCTTATTCCAATATGAAATAGTTCATTACTTTTTTTTACAAAAATAAGAATTCAAAAGACTTTTGAATGATGATATTCCAGAAGCATTTCTAATAAGATCTGGCAAGTTATTCCATAGTTTAACTGTTGATGGAAGGAAACTTTCCATGTATGATGTAGTTCTAATATGAGGAATTTTAAATTGTGCATCACTGGTTCTAAGATTATAGGAATGATTTGATGGGCGATAAGGCTCAATCAAATAATGCAAATATTGAGGTGAATAGCCATTTATAATTTTATAAAACAATATCAATTTATGAACCTTCCTTCTTGTTTGTAAAAGATCCCACCCTAATTCATCATACAGTTTTGAACGAGAGGAGTTACATCTTAACCCAGTGATAATTCTACCTGCTTCAACTTGAATATCTTCTAAAAGTTTTGAGTCTTTTTCAGAGCAATTGTCCCAAACAACATCGGAATATTCTAAAACAGGTCTAATAAATGCAAAATATATCTTAACAAGTGTTTTCCGCCTAACCTTATACTTTAGCATTCTGAGGATATTTAGTCTTTTTGTAGCTTTTTCATGAATTGATTGTATATGCAATGTCCACGTAGCATCTCTTTGAAAGTGTAGACCTAAATGGGTATGAGATATATTCTGAATTATGTTTGGACCATGTTCCCCAAATTTGATAGGGGGATATACCATGTTTTTACGACTAAAGTCCACGTTAACAGTTTTGTTTGGATTAAAATCAACTAGCCATTTTTTTGACCATTTATCAATAAGTTCGAGATCACTAGTAAGGGATTGTGTTACATTTGTGGCTCCATTGTCCACAATGGCATATAAGGAAGTATCATCAGCAAAAAGTCGTATATTATTAACTAAATCATCACAAATATCATTTATGTACAAAAGGAAGAGAAATGGTCCCAGAACGGAACCTTGAGGAACACCAGCATTTACTGTTTCATGGTTTGATGAAAAACCATCAATTACAACTTTTTGTTGTCTATCACACAAATAATTTTCAATCCAACCTAATATGTTACCACTAATACCGTAATTTTTCAGTTTAGATAAAAGTCCTCTATGCCAAACTTTATCAAATGCCTTTGAGATATCACAAAAAATAAATCTTACATCTTTTCCTTTGTCAAGACTGGAAATTATAGTGTTATATATTTCTACAAGTTGATTAACAGTTGAGTCCCCCGGTTGAAAGCCTGACTGATACTTGTAAATTACATTATTGTCATTCATAAAATTATGTAAATGTTTAAACAATATTTTTTCCATTATTTTACACAATACACTTGTAAGGGATATTGGTCTATAATTTGGTACTTCTTGAGCACTGCCTTTATTTTTGAAGACGGGTGTGATCTGAGATAGTTTCCAAATATCTGGCAATTTTTTCCCCCTTAATGACAAGTTAAAGAATTTAGTCAAAGGTTTTGTAATTGTAGTGGCTATTTCTTTCAACACTCTTGGGGAAATACCATCAGGACCAGGTGGTTTAGTGTTATCAATGATACTTAATTGATCATAGACTTCATTTTCAGTGATAAGTATTTCAGATAGAATGTCATTATTCTGTGGTGGCGGACCAGGGCCATGAAGAGGAATGTCTGGTTCATCATTAATAGAAGAAACTTGTGCAAAATATTTATTAAGGACTGTAGGCTTCTCAACTGGATGGAAGATAAGTTTACCTTTTAATTTTAGAGGTGGTAATGGTTCATAATTTTTATTCAGTTTTGATATCGACTTAACAATTCTCCACCATTTTCCAGGAGGGATTGATTTATCAATCATTGAAGACATTTTTTTGTTATACTTTTCACGAGATTTTCGAATTTCATCAATTACTCTATTTCTAAGTTCTCTATATGACTGCCAGTGTAGAGGATTGTCTGTATGTTTTGCTTTGTAGTGAGTCCTATTTCGTTTCCTCATTAGTTTACGTACAGTATTATTCATGAATGCCTTATCTCTAGGTCTGATCAGTCTAAACTTCTGTCAGAGTGCTCAGTGTGTATTCTTGACTGCTCTGGAGTAAGGGAGATAAATGCATCATATCTCCAGCAATAATGGGAATTAGATCCCCAGACTTCAGGATGTTAGTGACAGTTATTTAAGAAATCTCAGGTGCAAAAATGAAAAGAATCTGACAACTTCAAAGGTCCTTGAAGGTGATTGTGTAAAATCATCTACACCCATATTAAAGGCAGTTTTAATTTTATAAAGGCATATTTCAACAAAATATGTCATTTTATGAACTTTCTGTGTGAAAGCACATATTTTTAAATTTAGAAGCAGGGTTGACATTAATTTATACAGATTTCTATGTAAAATACTAATAATATGTCATGTTTTACCCTCAAAACTCCAAATTATGACTTTCAAAGTAGGATTATGCATCTGACATGTAGGAAGAAGTTAGAAAATGTTGGTTTTTTATTTTAGATGACTTTAAACTCTGTGCACCACCTGACCGCAGTCAATTATAGTGTCTACAGACTTTGCCGTAAAAGCACTTTAGGCTGATTTTTTCAAGAAAAGACTAATTCTGGGTTTGCGAATGAGTTTTCAACAAAAGCGACAACTGCGATAAAATGTGAAGAAGTAAAACATGTTTTTAAAAAGTGTTAAATTTTACAGAGACTGGGTTTACTTTCATTTTATTCACCTTAAGTGATTCATTTATTACTGGAGTGGAGGAATAGAAATAATGAAATGAGTTAAATTTGTCTAATAAAAGTAATGCACATATAAAATTTATTAATAATTTTTCAAAAATAAGAAGCTTATGACCAAAAATGCATAAATACTGTCAGGGCATGAGAGTGAATACTTATTCTGAGTCCCAACCATGCATCACACATATAGTACAGAATGTCACTTAGCACCATGGTATGCCTGATATGGTTCTCTAGACTTTTTCCATGCTTTCGCAGCTGACATTCAAGATTTTTCAGTTTGCCGGAGAATGTTTTTTGTCATTTTACCACTTTTATGTAGGTGTTGATCCTCCCTTTTAAATTAAGTCTCAGTCAGGATGTTTATTTTAGCATGATTTGTTAAGCACATTAGTGTACTGAAATATTAATAAATTACAAATTAAAGTGATGAAGAAATTTGACATATTTACACAATCAAAATATCAGAATAACCACAATTCAGCTAATAAAGTGCCCTGTTCTTCTTTTGTCACTTCCTATAAATTTTATCAGCAGTTTTTGTACACCCACCCACCTCCAAGAATCATGGAGGATGGCCTGATATTAGTTTCTCTGTTGCATTTATTCACATTTAAAAGTGTTAAGACCCATAAAAATGTTTAAGATTTATATTTTTAAATTTAAATGTTGAATTTTTATGTAAATTTGGTGAAACAAAAAGCTGTAATCTTGAATTAATCATGCAAATTCATTAAACACCTTTGAAATTCCTGAGTAATTCAATGAAAAGAGGATAATTATGTATGTTCAATTGGAATTTCATGGCTAATTTGTGTCTGCAGAGAAAGCCAGTTACATAAATCACAACAATAAATTACATCTGAATTGTTTTCTCCATTTTCTTATCATCAAAGCAAGTTTAATGGAGTGTCAGAGCTGTCCAGAACCTCCCCAGATGCTGATATCATTTGGACTGCCCTGTGTTACAACACAGCTTTTAGATAAACTTCTGCATAGCAGGTTGTAGACAAGTACCTAGGCTTTATTTGGAACATAAATTGACCAGATGCAGATTTTATTATCGGCCTAAGATTTAACAATTTCTGTAAATTCTGTCATTCTTAGAAGGGTAAAATGCAATTTTGTTATGTAATAATTACATAATGGTCTCAGACTTGTGAATTATTTTTTGTTTGTTGAGA